CTTAGTGAATCAGTTCAACTTTACACTATCCCTTGTTCTTGAATCCCTTATTTCCTTCTCCTATCACTGAACCCCAAACTTGGATTACCCCTGCAATCCACTTCTTTTGCTCCTGCTCATGTTACTGAAGAGTGCTGGAGGAAGTCACTTACATGTGCTGCAAATTTATAATATCAACTGTGCCCTCATTGCTTCAAGACAACCCTTTTACTCATCCCCAATTGATTCTCTATCCATTGTCCATAGCACCTGTTACATATCTTCTCTTCTCAAGCCTCCCTCACCAGAAATCATCTCTCAGCTGAGGTCCTCAACTCACATAGCAGAAACAGAAGTACAAACACATCACCCTGAAGTGGGGGCCCACACATCCCAATACCACCTCAGTCCCTTTGGAGAGTGGGCTCAGTTGCTACAAAGTATTTGCCTCATTTAACATCATGAATACAGCATAGCTAATGGATAAATCAGTCCCCTGCCATCTTTGCTGCCATCTTTGTCTACTTCTAGGCGAGATCCTATAGATTGCTTCTTGGGACTACACTTGTGGGTGCATTGGTCTCAGTTGTCAATGGACCTCTGGTCCTGCAACCTTTTGAACCTCACATGGTCATTCTTTCTCCGGTATGCCTTCACCTAAGAGCAGGAAGGAACAGACACAACAGGAACAGAATTGCTATAGAGGCCATGTGACTTCAAAGTCACATGGTGAGGCTTCTAGCATTCCATTCTCCTAACTGAAACATAACTAAGAAATAAGAGACTGTGATCTGATGGGTTAATGATTTTTGTAGGCATAATGTGTTACAGTTCAGCGGCCAATCAAAAGGCTCTTATTTTGCTATACAGGAAGCTGACAAGAAGACACAGTCCTGGGGATGCCCTGAAATCCACGTGGGAGCCTGTTTGCATCAGGAAGCACATGCTCTACATACTTATAAGGGCTGTACTCTCAGACCCCAGATATAATCACCTAATGTTTTTACAACACAGTCATTTTCCTTTAATGCTGTCCCTGTTCAAATCCTTCCTAATAACAACAACAACAAAAATCATTTAAACAAACAAAGGACACAGCACCCATGTCTGACAGCATATATGAAATCCCCCCTTTCCACTTTTCCCCATCCTCACTGCTCTACTGAGAGGAAGATTTGTTTCACTACCAGTTCTCTAGAACTGAGATTGTTCAATTTAGAGTTCACTTGTCTTTTGTGATGTTATCATTCACATTTTTGAGTCATGTGTATATTGTTTTCTTGGGTCTGCTTTCTTTGCTCTGTATCACTTCATATACATCTTCTTTCTCTGTTTCTCTGAGTTCCTTGCATTTCTCATTCCTTACAGTGCAACACTATTCCGTTATATTAGAATGCCACCATTTGTTCAGTTATTCCCAAAATTATGGGTACTCATTTTAAGAAAATTAATAGAGGCTAGAAACGTCTAGGTAGAGTCTTAGGGTTTGGGGATGGCTTCGTTATGAGTCTGTGAGAGGCCACAGTTCAGAAAGAGGGAGGCAAAACAGAGTAGTGTCCCCCTACGAAGTGGGAGGTCTGGAGGAGTTTAAAAAAGTTCCGCTCACTCCCCACTTTTATCAGGTATGGGCCTTGTGGATGAAACATTAATATCCATGTATGGATACGGGGAAAGAGACACTGTACAGGCCAACCAATAGATGCTCTTCTGTTCCATCTTGTCATTCAGAACAAAGTCTTCACAAAGGAATTAGAGCTGAGAAAGGCCTTAGAGATCATTTAGTCCAACCTGTGCATTTTATAGATCAGGAAGGCCCAGAGAAGGAACATAATTTAACCAAAGTCACGTAACCAGTAAGAGGCAAAAGGAGGGTTTGAGTCCAGCTGCTGTGACTCCAGATTCATAGTTTTTTCTACTCCACTATGCTGTCCTTTTTCTCTTTACAGAGGTGCTTCATGTAGTTTCTTTAGAATTCTGCCTGAGAAACCCATTGCAAACTATATAAGACCCATATATGAGATGCTGAAAAAATTTACAAAATAAATCGTAGACCTTTCATTTTGCTTATAATCTGGCCAATTTGATCATTGACTGCTTAATAATACCTCTGGTAGGGTATCCTAGGGCAAGGAAAGGAGGAGAAACTCACTTCCAGTTTTGCTGAACATTTTGATTGAGAATGAATCACGTGAGATTTTGGAATCAGAGATCTAGAGTTGAAAAGAACGTTAGAGGTCATCTAGTCCAATTCTCTCATTTTATCCATGAGGAAATTGAGGCCCATAAAATTGAAGCAGCATACCCCCAAAGTCACACATAAGTAGTAAGTAGCTAAGCTAAAATTTGAGCCTAGTTCAAAATCACAGAATCTCAGAGTTGGAGCAAACCCCAATAACCACTTGATCCAACTCATACCTAAGAAAGAATGCTGTTAAACACTCCCAAATGATCTCCAGTCTTTGAATACCTCCAGTGAGGGGAAAACCTACTACCTCATAAGGCAGTCTATTCTACTTTGGGATAGTTCTGATTGCTATAAATTTTTCCTTACCTTGAACCTAATTCTCTCTTTGCAATTTCTACCATTGCTCCTAGGACTGACTCTGATGAAATTGTGGTATTTTTCTTGAAATATCACACTTTTTGAAGAAATAAAGTTGCAGGTCACTCAAAGAAAGTATACATGATAGGATTGAATTCCTTCAGCATTCCCAAGGAAAAATCAGTCAGGAGATATGTCATAAAGGTTGCCACCAAAGATGTCCAGAAAAAAAAAAAAAGATGTAGACTGTTAATGGCCAATTAATTGCCCAATCTTGATCTCAGAGAAGAAAGGAGGAAATATGCATTCCTCCCCTGGATACAAAGGCAAAGGGCTATGGGTGTGGAATGATGTGTATACTAACAGGGGTAGTCACTTTTTTGGATTGAATTTTGTTCCAATTTTTCTTTGTTAGAAGAAAGGAAGGGAAGGTACAGGTTGGATAATGATTCCATTGTTTAAGTAAAATGTTATAATTATTGACTGAGGAATTGTATACTCACATAAAAAATTACCAACTTGTATAATGCTTTAAATTTTACAGTGTGCTTTGCATATATTATTTGAAAATTTTAATCCTTTCAATCTCATTTACAAATGAAAACTTGAATAGAAGAGATTTGCCTAGGGTTATATTGCTTATTTGCCCATGTCCAAAGCAGGATTTGGTGCAGGTCTCTCCTGACACTAGGTACATCCCTCTTATCTCTCAGTTTGTAGGCTGCGCTCACAACGCTCTTGGTACTTCTCAGTTGGTTCTTGGTCGTCAAGGATCTTGCAGTACTGCTCCTATTTTAGTTCAGCTGCCTTACTTCAGGTTTCTGTGCCAGTACGGAAAAACAGAATCTCAAAGTGAGAAATCAAAGTCTTAGTAGAATGTAAACTTCTGGACAGTAGAAACTCTTTTTCATTTTGTCTTTTTGTCCCCAGCACCTAGAACGATTGCCTGACGAGCACTATGATCTGTCACTGTTTAGTTGTTTTCAGGCTTGTCCAACTCTTTGCGACTCATTAGGGTTTTTGGTACTGGAGTGGTTTGCCCTTTCCCTCTCCAGGAGGAGATTGAGACAAACAGGGTTAAAGTGACTTGCCCAGGGTCACATAGCTAGTAAATATCTGAGGCTGGATTTGAACTCAGGTCTTCTTGACTCCAGGCCTGTCACTCTATCCACGGTGCCACCTGGCTGCCCCACACTATGATTTAATAGATGCTTGTTAGATTAGTTTAGATTGGATTTGGAGTGATCTTAAAAATTAGCTTGTCTAGCCTTCCAGACCATTCCAAATGAGGCAACTGGAGTCCCAATGAGGTCAAGTGGTAATCCAGAACCTCAGCTAGGAAGCAACAGAGTTTAGACGAGAGCCAGGTTCTCTGAGCCCAAATTCAATGCTTGCTTCTATGTCTGGGGTGGGGAGGGGGGAGTGTAGGGTGATACAAAGAGAACAGAACTCAAAGTCAGCACAAGATGGAGTTTCTGGTTTGCCTCTGACATTAGCTCTATTACTGTGGACAAATTATAGAGCCTTAGCTTCCATGTCTGTCAAGTAGAGAGAATAGTAACTGTAGTCCGTCCCTCTCAGAGATGTTGTTTGGACCATAGTTCATGTTTGTACAATAAAGTACTATACCAGTATAAACAGCTGTTGTTACTTTTCTTTCTCTTCCTGCTGTCACTGCTATTATCCACATTCTCATGCCTCTGTGCTTAAAACTACTAGACTAACTAGCTTGCTAAACGTTCTCCCAGGTTCCAGTCTCTCTCTTAATCTATCTTGTACCCTCAAAGGGCAGACAGGGAACCTGGAGTGCAGGAGGAGAAATAGTAAGGAAACTGGAGCAGTGAGGAAAAATAGAGAAAAATCTCAGAACCATCTTTGTGAGAGAGCTATCCAGTCCCCATCTCTTCTGTCCAGCGTTAATGGGAGTGGGAATAAGCACTTATATAACTTCTATATGCCGGGTACTGTGCTAAGCACTTTTACAAATATCATCTCATTTAATCCTCACAACAACCCTCTGGGATAAAAGTAACATTTATGTCCCCATTATTTGTTTTTCCACAGTGCACTGCTAGTCAGAGGGCTCTGTGATCTCTACCCCCACTCTATTTGACCAGATCTTACCCTTTTCCCAGTGTAAAATTGTCTTAGACCTGAGCAGTCTTGTCCCACATCTATAGGCCCAGGGCAACCCTAGACAGACTAACTTCTAATTAGAGACCTATATTCTGGAATCTTTCTACTGCAAATTGTTTGAAAACCTGCCAATCTTGAGTTCTTAAGAGAGTTCCACCACCCACTCACCCCATTGCCGCAAGTAGAATGGAAGCCCTTTGAGGGTTGGGACTGTTATATTTTTATCTTTGTGTTTTTAATACATATCATAATGCCCTGCATCTAATAGGTACTTGATAAATGGTTTTTTAATGGAAACTAATCAAGTTCATGCTTATAGGTTCACTTCTCTCTTTCTTTGCAGCTCTTACTTGCCCACCTGTCTCCTGAGCACCCTGATTGTATCACCCTGTAGGCCATGGAGAATGAGCTGCCAACCCCACCCACATCTATCAGTGCCACCGTTGCCAGCAGTAACAGCGGGGTCAGTAGTAGCAGCAGCAGCAGCAGCAGCAGCAGCAGCAGCAGCAATGGTGGTAGCCGTTCTGCTGGAACTGGGCCTCAGATTTCTGTGTACAGTGGTATCCCCGACCGACAGACTGTACAGGTAAGCCTTAAATTGTTTGAGTATCTGTACATCTTGGAGCCTAGGGCTAGGCCTTAGGGCTCCAAGGTAGAGAACCTAGAAAAATCTTTTCTTAAAAGCTGTAGTCCTATATGAACATAATTATGAAACATTTTTCACACAAATAAAGTCAGATCTAAATACTTGGAAAAATATAAGCTGCTCATGGGTAGGTCGAGCTAATATAATAAAAATGTCAGTTCTACCTAAATTAATTTACTTATTCAGTGCCATACCAATCGAACTACCAAAAATTATTTTATGGAGCTAGAAAAAATAATAACAGAATTCATCTGGAAGAGCAAAAGGTCCAGAATATCAAGGGAATTAATGACCAAAAAAATGCAAGGGAAGGTAGCCTAGCCATACCAGATGTTAAATTGTATTTTAAAGCCATAATCATCAAAACTACTTGGTACTGGCTAAGAAATAGAGTGGTGGATCAGTGGAATAGGCTAGGTACACAAGACACAATAGTCAATGACTAGAGTGATCTGCTGTTTGATAAACCCAAAGACTCCAGTTTCTATGATAAGAACTCACTATTTAACAAAAGCTTCAGGGAAAATTGGAAACAGTATGGTAGAAACCAGGCATAGACCAACATCTTACACTGTATACCAAGATAAAGTCAAAATGGGTACATGATTTATATGTAAAGGCTGATACTATAAACAAACTGAGAGAGCAAGGAATAATTTACCTGTCAGATTTATGGAGAAGGGAAGAATTTATGACTAAACAAGAGATAGACAGCATTATGAAATGCAAAATGGATGATTTTGATTACAAAATTGAAAAGTTTTTACACAAAGCCAATGCAACCAAGAATAGGAGGAAAGCAGAAAGTGAGAAACAATTTTTACCACCAGTGTCTCTGATAAAGGCCTCATTACTGAAATATATAGAGAAGTGAGCCAAATTTATAAGAATACAAGTCATTCCTCAATTGATAAATGGTCAAAGGATATGAACAGGTAGTTTTCAGATGAAGAAATTAAAGCTATCTATGGTCATATGAAACAATGCTCTAAATCACTATTGATTAGAGAAATACAAATGAAAATAACTCTGAGGTACCATATCACACCTATCAG